TCGATAACCTTTCAGGCCAATCTGTCGCTTCGCCACTGTCAAACATCTCGCTACCTTAATATTTGATAATGTTCGCCAAACATTGTCTAGATGCAATTCTTCTTAATCAAGAATTCTACGAATTACAGGATCGTACTGAACATACTAACACATAATTTTGTGGATTTGATTGTAACATGCATGTAAATCATTGAGCTTGTTCCTCTTTGTTGGAATCATTAATTAACACGTTAAACGCCGCAGTGAAAACAGATACGTATATTACAACACGCTGTAATTGTAATTATTCAGCATACGATTTTCATTTGCCAATTTAAACTTTCCAGATAATCTAATTTATCTTTCAATAAAATAGATTTCATTGGACAATAAATTAGATTATCAACGAAAGATAATGTAAATAATAATTTCATCTTTAAAATATATTCATGGTTCCTGACGAATCGATCGCTAAAAATCTGCTCATTCGAAACGATATTAATTCGATGCCGTCTGTACCTGTTCGTAAATTATAAGCGACACGATTCTTATCGCAAAAAAGGAGAAGCAGTGTTCGGTCCCGGGCCGGGCGTCGCGACGCGTCACGCTGACAGCTAGGCGTCTAGTTTCTCGTTCAGGGCGACCCTGTAGATGCCACGTACCGTGCACACGGGATGGGTGGGCACGAAGCGCGCGTTTAGCATTTGAAAAAAACCCTCGACGGCTGACCGCCTCGCCCGAATCTCCCATACACACCCGCGCAAACAAAAGGCTGCTACATTTAGCATTAAAAAAGCACGCGGACCAGCTCGACTGTGGGCTACTACCTGGGCCAGAGGGGGTGAGAACGGTAGGTGGAGGGCGAAGGAGGTGGAGAAACGATGCAGCCCGATGCCAGTTACTCTCATCTCCGTAGCCGGACATGCGGCCCTCTTCTACTATTGTCCGACTATACGCACACGGTAGCCGAGCAAAACGACAGAGAAAGAAGATCTACTCGTTTCACAAGGGTGAAACAAAGACAGGAAGATCGAAACGTACGGGACGTTGGTATGGGCGCCTGGATCGGGACAGAAGTGGTTGATGCATTGGGACAAACACATTTGGCATTAAAAAAAGCTCCGACGGTACGTGTGTTCCGCGGAAACGGCGTTCCTCCACCCGACAGCCGTCTCGTGTAAGCGAACCGAGGGTTGCACCCGTAGGGGTTCGCGATACGGATCTGTGTCTCTGTGTATGTGTGAATTTGAGCGAAAGAAAACGGACACGGGTGAAACGTTTCTGTTCGCACCGTGTATCCTTCTGGTTATGTCTTTTATCCAATTTCTGTTGCTCTGTTAACGCGTTGATGATGGACATTCTTTTTGGTTACTTTTATTTTTCAAAGTGGAAACTTGGAATTAAATGAAGGTATCGGTACAATTAGGAACGGAGCAGGGTGAGTTTAACCCCTGAAAAATGTAGACGAAAATTTGAAGATTCCAAACGTCCAAGGTGCGAAACGAAGAAACTTTCATCCCCGATTTTTCGCGTATTATCCGCGTCCAGTTTACGCTCGATGGGTGTCCTCGCCTCGTCCAAATGCTGCTGCACGGCCGAGGGTTTCCATCATTTTTTTTGTCCGCGTTACTGCACTTCTATTTTCATTCCGCCTCACGTTCCGCAGGCCCGCTCGTGGTGGAGGAGAAAAAATGTGTTCCCCGAACACGATTGATAGGTATGAGCGTGCGGCAACGCGCGTTTGTATACGTGCCCGTGTAGAAGATGACAGAGAAATTATACAAACCGCGGAGAAAGCGAGAGGTGAAAAGGGTTAGTCGTTGGTAATACGTATATCTTTGTCTCCACCTGCTACCAGGTGGAAGTAGTTATCAAGTATAGTTTATTAGTGAGAAGACATTTCTGGAGGAAGAACGAAAGCTTGAAACAAACTTTCTTTCTTTTTTCAGATATATTTTCATATCGCTGATAATTTTTTTTTTTTAATTTCCCCCCAATTGTGGGATTTTCGATTATTTGATATCACTCTGTTAAATAACAGTAAACAATTTTAAATGATGATCAAATGCTTACGCTTCGTAAGTTCGGAAGAGAATTTGCATGATTCGCGTAGAGTCGGTAAACATTCATGTGGGAATTTAATGTACTCGTTGTTATCGTACACCTTGCAAACGACAATTTTAAACATTACTGTGTGAATATGCGAAGTCAAATATACGCAGGTGCCCAAGGGATTAAGGCAGGCTCGGTCGGATAAACACGAAGTTTCGTGAACGAAATTTCCAAATCACGCGATTGAATTTAATCACGTGTACTTTAAATGAAACAACGAGATCGCGCAAACATTACACTACAGGCAAAGATCCTGTCTATCCAGCCAATTAATGAGAGAAACGGCGCTGTCAAATGAATAGATTTCTTATGAAAAGAATGAAAAAAGTTGTTGAAGTAGCTAAGAAGCAGCAGTATCGAGTAATAAACAATCATTGATCGAGGAGTTCGAAGAAATGGCAATAAAACAACAAGAAAAAAAAAAAAGAAGAAAAACTGTTGAAAGAATGAAAGTTACGTGGAAGGGGTTGATCGGTTGCCCGCCCCTCTCTCGTCCAGCGGATAATTAAAAATAGTCCCCGCGGCCCTTTACTCCTTTTTCGCGGCTCATTAAATCGACTATAAATTATGCATCGAAAATTACAGCCAGGCCATCCGAATATCGGTACGAACTCGGCCCACCCCGCAACCCCCCGGTGGCAGCGTCACGGCATAATAAGCAATTTGTAATCAAGAGGCGTCGTACGGGTGTTATAGTTAGTAAGAAATCCAATGGAAACCCCCTCGTCCCATCCGTGGACCGCGGCACGACGGGCAAGCTGAAGGGGCTGGAGCGTGGTGGAACGCGTAAAAAGAATTGCAAATTGCGAATTAGCATTATGCACCGTCTACTCAAATCGTTATTATCCATGAAAGTTCTACTCGTCGTTGCTGCTCGGCTTCGACCCTGCCCCCGGGGATGCGCTTTGTCGCGATACTCGCCCCGACAAATCGGATTCGCGTCGTTTCGAGCGGCGACGCAACCGGTTATTACGCAGGAACAGGAGGAAAATTAAATATCGCGTGCGTGCATGCGTCGCTGTTCCCTCGAAAAAATAGCTGATAAACCAGGAAAGAACCGCATTGTTTCAACGCTGGCTGCCTGGAATTCCTCGACCCACCTGTTCTTGTTTCATCCGTCAGCTTTTTCAACGAACCGGTGATAGGGAAGCCGGCTTTATTCAAAGTGCCTTATACAAATTTGTTTAACACTTGAACAGTGGATGTTATGACACGAAAAATATCATTTATGAAATCATAGATAATCGATGTTCTAATTCGCAATTTGAACTATGGAAATTGTACCAATTTTCAAATGTATCGGTTTATCGATTAGGAAAAAATTTCATTTTTATATACCAGTATTTCGCAAAGTCCATGATCGATGTTTACTTTGAAAAACAGCATTTTAAAGTAGTGACACAGGGAAAATACGAGTGACGGAAGTCTTGGTGGATCGCGTGTGTCCACCACGTTCCGGTGCCGAATTTAAATAGTGGCCTGGTCGTAATATTGCATTAATAAATGGAATTAGCGAAACAGTAAAGTGCTTTTAACGGGCTGTGTCTATCCTGACTCCTCTAATATGACAAATACACCATGGCGGTTGGCTGCCGGTTTCGTCGTTCTTGCATTCATTAAATGACGCCGACAATGCGGCCCGCGCGATTATTAATGGCACCGTATCAAAATCAATTTTCATTTGTTCAATACTTATGTACGTTGCAATCCAATTTGCACTACCGTACCGTTGCCCCTCGTTCCCCTCAACACCGCGAGTTTTACTGTAATTGAAAGTCCTCGAAAATTTCGACCGGATACCAAGGAAAGATGCGACCGAAGGATCGACGATATCGTGGCAGCTTTTCGTTGAATAATTATTAAGTCTGTCCGATTATAACATTTGCTCCTCCACGGCTATTTTTCTCGCCGCTTATAACCGCTCGAAAACGCTCGCTGACCCGGTTTTTTATCGTTCCCATTGCCGCTACCAAATTGGATGGAATTTTCTGAATTGATCATTAATATTCGCTCGCGAGAGCGATAATATACGACTTGATTACTTTTTTAAAACATGGATGGAAAGTGAAAAAGATTCGACATCAAATCGAATAACCGAAATGGTACGAATAAGGAATGATAACTTTTGATTAAATTAATTTATCTTGGTCCACTTTTCTTATTTGGAAATATTATGTACGAAATATTCTTATCGTATTAATTTAACGTGTCATTTATTGTACGAATTCAATTAGAGGTATGCAAAATGTAAAAGTGCAATGTATGGTAGAGTATACGATTGAATACGAGTATTTGGATATGCAGAATCTAAATTTGTTTTAAAATACGTTAATAAGGAGGATAATGATTCTTATTTCGAAAATACTCGTATTCAATCGTACATTCCACCATAGATTCTATTTACATGAAACCTCGTATCAAATTCCTAAAACATTATTAATTTATAATTCAAAGGCGACCTCTGCATGAAAACAATTCAAAGGCGACCTCTGCATGAAAACATCTAATTCCTAAAAAGTTATCAAATTGTAATTCAAAGATAACTTCTGCATGAAATCTTATATCAAATTCCTAAAAAATTGTCAATTTATAATTTAAAGCTAACCTCTGCATGAAACCATACATTAAATTCCGAAAAAGTTATCAAATTATAATTCAAAGATAACCTCTGCATGAAATCTTATATCTAATTCCTCAAAAATTATAAATTTATAATTAAAAGATAACCTCTGCATGAATTCTTATATCTAATTCCTTAAAAATTATACGTTTATAATTCAGAGATAACCTCTACATAAGAAACTTTCCCACACCAGGATAAGATTCGAACACATTCAACGAAACTCGTGTTATTAATATTAGAAACATCGTAAAACAATTAATAAATGTGTGGAAATTATTTGACTTACCCAGTCAGCTGCGTATGCGATCTCTGCAGGAGTAGGTTGCTCACTCTACGAAGGTTGATACGTAAATAACAACACAAAGCCTATCCGAAGCCGCTAGGCGTCTTGCGAACAGGCCATCTTGAAACCGTGCTAGGGAAAAAGTTAATCCGTTTAGATAAACACTAGAATTATTGGCGCGCGACGGTCGACCTATCGAATCGTGTACTCATTCGGTCTTGAGGCTTCCTGGTGTCAACACGTGTTTGGAAGGCCGAATAAACAAAGTTTATGTCTAAACCAAGTGTACACGTTCACATTCCACGGATGTCTACAGTGAGGTCTACAGTAAAAGTAAGTAAATTATATTCTTTTGTTTAAAACGTTCAATTTTTACTGCGTAATAGTTAAACAATCGAATTCTCTGTTAAACACTTTGACTACCACGTGCATCCAATATGGCTGATTTCATATTATTAGAAATATTCATGTTCTTTGACTTGCTTAACTGATGAAACTGATGAATAATGAAATATTTTGAAAATATCTAACGATTCACATCTTCTATGACTATCACCGGCACCAAAATTTGCACTAACCTCAACATTGTGCATTTTTCGAACATAACTATATCATAATCACATATTACATATCCCATACATAAGATCTTTAAAGATAAAAATAATACTTAATAGAATTTTCAACAACTTTAACGTGGTAGTCAAAGTGTTAAACCGAGTACGAACCAAAAATTGATTTCATCAACAAAGAGTAAAATTTGCTGTTCGATGAAAATTAAATTGGCAAATGGTCAAAATATGAATTTTTTTTACAACGAGTACTCTTCAATGCGTAATTCCATAGAATTTCGAGTAATCTTCGGCATCATGAAGAGCCGTACCGCAATATCCAGAAAAATGAATATTCCGTGAAAGCCTTCGAACAATTTTATCGCTTTTTCGACATGCAATTTATTCAGTCGTTTAAACCTCACCAGATATTTTTGCATTACAATTCCAATGTAAATTTCGTGCGGGTAGTTTGATTCGTCGGATGTCACAGTTCCTCCATCGGCAGGTAGGGAACGAAAATAATAACAAAACATCATCCACGCGATGGATCGATCGATTAACGAGCACGATAACGAGCAAGTAATTAAAGAAAAACTCTCGAAAGATTTGCCGGGGGTAGAAACACATCTTGAGCGAAGATTTCTTGGCCGGAAGTTGCGGACCGTTGACGAAATAAAGGTCCGGTCCGGTAATAATACCGTGAGAGATCAACGAAGCGGTAGAAGATCTCGAAGAAACCTAATTAACTCGCTTCTTTCGAATTGAACTATTTTTCCGCGATCGTTGCTAAGACGAAGAAAAAAAGTAAAGAGTCGTAAAAAAAGATGGGACGGGCGGGGAATACAAAGTAGATAAGAGGGTGGAGCGCAGTGACGTATTTCAAGATAAAGTGTGAATAAATTATTTCATGTTTCTTTTATTATATATTTGGACCCGGTAATTTGAATTATAATAGATATGTTATTAAATTTATTCACACTTTTTCGCGAAACGCGCCACTGAGCGAAGGAAGGAAAGGTCCGAGTGGTCAGGATAAAGACGAACGGAAGGTAGACACAGCGAGAAAGGGACGAAAGAAAGAAAATCAACGAGTTTCGACCGGTAGAAAGTTGAAAAGAGAAGGGCAGAGAAGTAGTAGGTGCAAGGGTGAGCGTGGCCGGTCTCGAAACTACCAAACTACTTTTCAAGCTGCCCCCGCGGCCCTGGCAAGATTATAATTAAAACGTCGCGCTGCGCTGGATAATAAATTAATGCATAATTAACATAGCTAATTATAATACCGGCTGAAATTTTTCTCGTAACTCGCAACACACTGGTACCTCGCATGCAGAGGCAGTGCAGCCTGGTAATTTATGATCGGACATGAAAAATTACCGTCTCGGGGGGGAGGTTTAATCATCCTCGAACCACCCCTCTCCCCCGTCAAGCTGCAACGTATTCGTCGACCTTTTGCCAACCAACGAACACACGTTCGTGCCATCCTACGGACTTAATAACTTATTATAATTCGACGCAACGTTCTGGAGAAGCTGAATCGACAAATTCTTGACCATGTTTGAAACTTTGAACACAGGGTAGAGATATAGTTACAGGGTGGACGATATTTTGCACATTTTTATATCTTATCAGATTGATTTTTAAAATTCGTACGAAAGTTGCTTTCTGTGATTTGTAACAAATAAGAGACGAAACAGAAGAGGGTGGAAGATGCACAGGGGTTGAGCCGAGAGAAAATCGAGGGGTTCAGAGAGGCAAATTCAGTTAGGGAATGATGAATTTTAAAGGGACTGGATTTGTATTTCTATTTCTCGATTTTCTATAAGACTTTGCAAAAAACATCATTTTTATATCAATTATCAAAAGATCAATTTTATAAATAGCCTTCTTGCATCTTCGTTATTTTATTATTAAAACATAAAAACTGTCTTCATAAACAATTCTCTCCATCCATCGTCGGTTAAATTAAGCCTAATAATTCACTTACAATTCCATCGTGCCCATCTCTCGCGAGTTTCCGCGTTCATCTTTTCCGCTCGGTTAAATCCGGCTCATCAGGGAAGTGCAGCGATCGGACTGGTCTGTTTAAAAACTTTGTCGCGAGTTACAATTACGCTCGTACACAATCGCACCGAGTTGCATACAGGTGCATCAAGTTCGAATCAGACAGTTAAAGCAGAGGAGCGTACACGTACATCGAAAGATGAAAAGTTTCCATACGTCGAGCGTCCTGACGCGGTAATAGAATACGGTCTGTTCGTTAATTGACTTATAAAAAGCTTAAATAATTAAATTAGCATTAAAAGCCGTCGCGAGTCGAGGCCCTGTCGGCTATCCTATAATTCAACATTGTTCTTTATTTTCCTGCCAGTGGTAGCTACGTGAAAGCTGCTGCTGGTCTTTTTCAAAGCGGACACACCGCACGCGCGTTAATTCATTAGTCCTCGCTATACATCGTTCTCACGAGTAAAACTTGGTCCGGTTTTTTAGATTCCCTCTGTCACGGCTTTTCGAGCGATCCGGAAAGCCCTTCTAGAAACGGTTTCCTACGGTAATAATTTACACTCCATACGAGCCGCTACTTTCTCCCCGCTCTTTGATGTTATTTAGGCGCGGCGATATATCGGTAAACCGTGGAAGTAATAAGCGGAGCCTTTTTATTCCATAAATATTTAGAACCGTCAGCCGGACACACGGCTCCGTTTGGCTATCCATAAATCGATACCCCTCGATCGATGATTTAGACGACAACGTCGGCTCGTATCTATGAAAATTTATAGAAAACTTCCGAGTTATTATCACTGTGCCAAATGTATTCTGTTTGGACTTTCGAGATAGAAAGGCCACCTAGGGTGGCTCCGAAGAGGGATCCAACAGGGTGGCATAGAAACGTCATTAGACCTCTCGATTGCTATAGTAACTTTATTTCGTAATTTCTCAAGGCATCGATGTTTTTTCCAAAATAATCAGCTAGGCAAGCCATAAAATCTTTCGTACGAGTCCCAGCGTGTCTCAACATATTCCATGGGTGACCATCGCACCCGGAAAGCGTGCAACGGTCCGGTAACAAAATACTCCCCCAGCGCTGGGTATATAACTTTGCTGGGACAACGCGGGTCGCATCGTTTGTCGAAAAAATCTACAAAATCGCCGGCCGTTAGCCGGTTAAAATCGCGCAACACGACGATCGCTTAGGCACGACACGCCACGAATGCACTAGCGTCGTAGTAATTTGTCCGCGTTATACGAACCGGTCATGGGGCCGGTCCGCCAACCCTGGACCCCTCTGGTCTCTATCTCTCGCCCCTCGCGGCGTTTCGACGGCGAAGGGGGGCTGCAGGCGACGGGCGGCACGGCGAAAATGCAGACAAATGAGTTAAAAAACGCGGGTTGCATCGCCGTGGCCGGCGTCGGTAGAGCCGGCGTTGCCGGCGATTTGACATTGTCGAAAGTTAATCAATGCCTCGGTGGCGGGTTGCAGAGAGCTCACCAGAGAGGGGTGAAGAGGGCGCGAGGGAAACAGACAAGAGGGAGAAAGAGACAGGCCGGAAAGAGGGAGAAAGCTGAATCGTGCAGCCCCGCCCGTGCGCCGTTTCGTCAATTTTTTAAAATTAAATCACTATCTGTCCTTGTTAAATGCATTTCCCGAAACCACCCCGTGCTGCAGCTTGCTCTCTGCCCGCCGCCACCGCCACCGCCGTTACCCTCCCGCCCGTATACCGTTCGCGCGCGCTATTGTGCCACTCTTCCCCGTCGATCCACGTGCTGCGCCTAATGACAGACAGTTGGCCGCGAAAAAAAGTGTGTAAATCTGCTGGAACGAGGCAGACAGAGATACACCGATCGAAGTGCAGCCGATCGTCCGTCGGCGTACAGGGTGCATCGAGAGGAGCCGGGAGAGAATCAGAGAGAGCTCGAAAGAGAGACGGAGACATGGTGGCCGCGAGTACCGTAAGAGAGAGGAACGGCTCCGAAACGGCTATGGTGAAGAACGGAAAGAGGATGGGTACGAAAGAGATAGGAACAACGCCATCGCGGACTCATATATAGATGGCGGGTACGTCCTGGTCTGGCGGAGCGCGGCCATTCCGGTAAAACGCACCGGAATAAAAATAATGGCTGGAAATGGACACGAAGGGGGGTACACCGGCACCTCGTCATTTTTTTCTATTAGCCGAAACTTACAAACACCAGGGGCTTCCGGCCATTTCCGAGCGCACTGTCCACCGCCAAACTGCTCCGCCGACCGTGTCCCTGGTTATGCCACGTCGAAGCTCGAAACGCCACGCGGATAGTTCTCCCCCCATCCATCGCGGCTTACAAAAATCGTGGCCATATTTTTGTTTCAGACTTTCCTGTAACCTCTTTTTTTTTCCTCCCCTCTATTTTTCGTCGCGTTGTTTTGTCGTTTTTTTGTTTTTTTTTGGGGGGGCTTTTTTTTTGTTGCTACGCTTTGCTCGACGCGATGGGAACATTGAAGGAGCTGAAGCGGCGTTCAACGGCGCGATTAAAACGTCATCCGCGCGGTGCAAATGACGACACTTTTTTTCCCGCGGACGGTTTCGAGGGTGGGCGACCGAGCACCGCCGCGAATAATTCAGTCGCTTCATTGTCGTTATTAATTTCGCGGGGGAAAAAAAATACCACCGCACGGTGTTTCGAATGGGTTCAACTTATGCCGCTCTTTGGCTGCGCACCGTTCTGTGCATCGCGTGGATAACACCGCCC